CAAGGTGGAGTGGGTCGTCACATAAACTTAAACTGATATTGATTTGTTTAGGTGGCTAAACTTTGTTGTTGCTAACTGTCCCTTTAAGGAGCCATAATCAGCGAATTTTAAATATTAAAACCATTTAAAGGCCGTCTGAAGGTATGTCTGATGTTTCTTCCCTCCTCTGGCCACCTTCCTGTGTTTGCATAACCATTCAACCTGAAAAGGAAAATATTAAACAAAGGGCGGCTGGAGATATTTTGCATAAAAGGAACGCGAGCGACCAGATGAGGGCCGACGTCACGGCCAATCAAATGGACTCCTCGCACCGTGAACGAAGATGAACTCAGGAGGAGGATTTGCTGAAGAAGACGTTCATCCTCCGGCCTGAATTTGAGCTGCAGCTTCTCAAATTGCAGAGATTATAACGGAAAACGTGTCTCTCACAGCTGGCAGCCAGAGCCAGTGCAGAGAGAGAAGAATAAAAAAGTGTCTGTAAGATGAAACCTGCAGCTTTTACGACCCTCCCTGAGTGACTCACAGCTTCGGCTTTATTGGAAAACGGTTGACCTCCAACCCGACTGTTGTACGGAGGAAGGACAGCAGGCTGCAGTTTACACACTGACAGCTTCATGAGTCTGTGTAAGACTGAAAACATAATGTGCATTTGCCTTTTTAATCATCCCAACAACGTGTTTTGCATCAGAATTTGAACACCATTGGTCCGACCGCACGTTCTCCATCTGCGTCAGTTTGTGTTTAACATTTGTTGTACATACAACGCTCCAACGATTAACCATAACCTCCCTTGTCCGCATGCATCTTTGCTGAAATCTGATCCCTGTTTTGATTCCAGAGTCAAAGTGCAAACGGGCGCTGCCGTTATCAGTTACTCTTTCAGTTTCTATGTTGCCGATAAAATGCCTGTTTGACAGTGTTGAGATCTCCAAAATGAAAGAAAAAGACAGAATGAAAGACGGACGTTATTTTCTGTTATTTAAAGTTTAAGTGAACTGAAAAATCTCATTTTAACCCTTTCAGGACACATCCTCAGTTATATTGTTCCATATTTAACAATGTTTGACAAAAAATACACAAAAAAAAAATTTCTTTGTGTTTTTATATTAAAATCCAATCATTTTGTCTTCCCGTGAAATTAAATGTGACGCATGCTTACGTCAACATGAACTAACTGATTTCAACCAATAATATCCTAACATTCACCCGTCAATCAGTATTCAATTTTTAGCGACACAGAGGAGAGATTGTTTCTTCATCAGCAGCTGCAGTGTGAAGCTGTTGATGGGGGATCTCAGGGGAGCTCCTTGTTTTTTCCTCAGTCCTGAACAATGCAGCGTGTAAAAGATTAGCCCCCCCCCAACCACGGATCGGCTAATCAGAGTGGATATCCTGCTCCCAGTCCTGGGTCGTTTCCATCTCCTGGGCATCAACACGCCACGAGGGATACCGTTTCATTCAAGATAGTTTGTCCCCTGCTGCTGGTGGACGGTCTGCTGGTTGGTCTGTTCGTTTCCAAACGTTCTGCCGACCATCAGCACATAAAACATTTAAAATCTTTCATGATGATCAACAGGAAGGGGCTGATGGGGATCTTGGATAGTTTGACCTCTTCCAACCTCAAAAATAAACCTGGCAGCAACCAATGGTTTGTTAAAGTTTTGGAAAAGTTGCAGTGATTGGACAAAACTGAAAGGTCGAGCAGGGATTGGTCGAATTTACGTTAATTAACCTCTTTAGCAGCCGCTATTTTCGTCACAAACACCTTAAACCACGTCTCTAGCTCATGTTGTAGCTGCTACTATTAATGTGTAAATTAATGTTTAATTTAAAGGTATTTTAATATTGACCAAAAACCAATAATCTATAGTTATTGGTATTAAACTGAAACTACACCCTTCAGTTCTGCCAGCTCCCTCTCTAATGATGATAATGTCACTTTTAACAGCAGCATTGATGTATTTTCATCAGTTTACAGCTCAAAAACACATTTTAGTACCTTTTTAATATAATACAATCCTTTAATTTATTTATTAATTATTCTCATAAAATCCACTTAAACTCTCAGAAAATACAACAGTTCATTATTAGCCCCTAAAAAACGCCCTTCAAAGGTAAAAATCTCTTCTCTTTGATAACATTAAAATGCTCAGACTTCAGAAACCAGTGTGTATTTCCAGACGTGCGAAGCGGCCGACCCTGCCACAGGTTGTGTTTCCATGGTGATGTGCAGCCAGTTGTTGTGTCATCATCCTTTCGCTGTAAAACATCCTGCTGCTCTCCGAGAGATAATGACAGAGCCATCAACCCCCGACAATAACGCTGACTGTACAGCGAGCAGAGAGAATAAACAGCAGCCATGTTTATCCATTAAGTGGTGGATGTGTCACCGGGAATTACCGTTAATAGTTTGTGGATATTGAGCATTTAAGTCTGGGTAAATACTCACTGAGTGGGTTTTTATTTTGGTCCTGCTGATGTGGTTTGCAGAGAGAAAAACAGGAAAACTTTATTCTGTGTGTGTGCTGAGCTGTGTGAGAGACTGAATCCCTCCGCGTCGGGAATCTGGCCTGGTTGAGCAGGAACGGAGTGAAATCGGAGAGGTTTTTCTTTTCTCTCGCGGTAATCATGTAAATGTGCTGCCAGCAGTCGTAGGTTGACGAACTGCAGCCGGGACCGAGTGAAAGGGATCTGGTTGATGCGGCGTTAGTGGCCTTGGAGACTTGGACAGAGACACAGTCTGATTGGACGCTCAGCGACCTGATTACAGCAGAGATCACCTCGGGTACGGTGTGATATCATCTGGTGTTTGTTATCCGGGCTGGAGGAAGGCTTTGGCACAGAAAGATGGAATAATGAGAGTAAAACAATTTTTTGGCAAATGAAACAGAGTTCTGAGCAGTTATGACGAATTCAGATTCATGTGGTTTGTTTTTGTTGAGCATTTTGTTCTTTTAATGCAAATTCATCCTTCAGGAATAGTTCAACATGTTGAGGAAACACACAGAATTACTCGTGGTAAAGGTCCAGTGTGTATCATTCAGAAATCTAATATATTCATAGGTATGTTTTCATTAGTGTTTAATCACCTGAGAATAAGAATCGTTGTGTACGATGAGCTGTTTGTATCTACAGAGGGAGCCGGTCCTCTTCAATGATTGTAATCCAAATTCTACACACTGGACATTTAAGAACAGAGCTGGAGTCACATCATAGATAGCCCAGTTGAGCATAAAGTTCAAGTATAGGGTCAGGTATAGTACAGGGACGTCTGGTGCCGTTATTCACAGGTTTGCATTAAAATAAGTACGTAATCACATAGCTTACATTACAGAACACGTACGTTAAACAGCGGCCTCCCGGGTGTCAATCTGATGATCCATGCACCTTCCCAACCTCCTGATTTATTTATTATGGCCACTTGCTGCTTTAACAATAAATGTAAATATAGTTTATAATTAGCTGCTTCCTCAAGCGAGTTCAATCAGTCTTTGAGTGCTGTGAACAACCTTGTTTGTAGAGTCTTTGTGTTTGAGAGCTGGACTTCCTGGTTCATATTTCATCCTCTACCTGTAACAACACGCCCCCACTGGAGCGGCCTCTTCTCATTGTTGTGCTGAAATCTGACCTGGAATCAGGACTCATTCACTCTCTCTGTCGCCCCCCTGCAGGTCAGGCCGAGGCCGAGCTGAAGGCGTTCAGTCCATACTACAGGAAGCAGTTCTCCGTGGCTCGTTTCTCTCAGGTGGAAGATGATCTGGAGCAGAACAAAGAGAAAATCACACAGCTGCTCAAACAGCGAGTACGTCTCTGAATCAGCAGCCACAACCTTTCTTAAGCCCCGCCCCCTTT